CTGATGACATAGTTTCTCTAGATGGCATTGCTCTGGCCTCTAGCACTACCATAAGAAACCTCGGAGTAATATTTGATCAAGATTTGTCTTTTAATTCTCATTTAAAACAAACCTCACGGACTGCATTTTTTCATCTGCATAATATTGCGAAAATTAGGCCTATCCTGACCCAAAAAGATGCAGAAAAATTGGTCCACGCTTTTGTTACCTCTAGGCTGGATTACTGTAACTCTCTATTATCAGGTAGCTCTAGTAAGTCCTTAAAAACTCTCCAGCTAATTCAGAATGCAGCAGCACGTGTACTAACAGGAACTAAGAAACAAGATCATATTTCTCCTGTTTTAGCTTCTCTGCACTGGCTCCCTGTAAAATCCAGAATTGAATTTAAAATCCTACTGTTAACTTATAAAGCTCTAAATGGTCAAGCTCCATCATATCTTAGTGAGCTCATAGTGCCATATTATCCCACCAGAACACTGCGCTCTGAGAACGCAGGGTTACTCGTGGTCCCTAAAGTCTCCAAAAGTAGATCAGGAGCCAGAGCCTTCAGCTATCAGGCTCCTCTCCTGTGCAATCATCTTCCTGTTACGGTCCAGGAGGCAGACACCGTCTCCACATTTAAGACTAGACTTAAGACTTTCCTCTTTGATAAAGCTTATAGTTAGGGCTGGCTCAGGCTTGCCCTGTACCAGCCCCTAGTTAGGCTGACTTAGGCCTAGTCTGCCAGAGGACCCCCCTATAATACACCGGGCACCTTCTCTCCTTCTCTCTCTCTCTCTCTCTCATATTCTATTACTGCATCTTGCTAACTCGGCCATTCTGGATGTCACTAACTCGGCTTCTTCTCCGGAGCCTTTGTGCTCCACTGTCTCTCAGATTAACTCATATCGCAGCGGTGCCTGGACAGCGTGACGTGTGTGGTTGTGCTGCTGCCGTGGTCCTGCCAGATGCCTCCTGCTGCTGCTGCCATCATTAGTCATTAGTCATACTTCTACTGTTATTATACACATATGACTATTGTCACACATGTATACTGCCAGATATTAATACATACTTTCAACATATTGTACCACAGTAGCCAGAACTATAACTATAATATTATTACTTTCAATAATGTTGTTGTAACCTACTGTCATTACCTGCATCTCTCTCTCTCTCTCTGTCTCATTGTGTCATGTGGATTACTGTTAATTTATTATGCTGATCTGTTCTGTACGACATCTATTGCGCGTCTGTCCGTCCTGGAAGAGGGATCCCTCCTCAGTTGCTCTTCCTGAGGTTTCTACCTTTTTTTTTCCCCGTTAAAGGGTTTTTTTTGGGGAGTTTTTCCTTATCCGCTGCGAGGGTCATAAGGACAGAGGGATGTCGTATGCTGTAAAGCCCTGTGAGGCAAATTGTGATTTGTGATATTGGGCTTTATAAATAAAATTGATTGATTGATTGATTGATTGATAGTAACCTTAAACATTTCCTTTTATTTAGAATAAATCCAACTGATTAATTTTCCTTGTTTATACTGAGAAAACACCAACTTCTCTGATCAAATATGGAGAAAAACCTTCACCAGATGCAGTGTCTTCTTTACAATAAGTGAAATTACTGCAAATGTTTGGTTGGTATCCTCAGAGAATGATTTATTATTCTTATTATTATCATTAGAGTCTTGTTCTGCTCAGCCAAACTCACCACAGACTTTGAAGTCCTCTGAACCGCCAAAATCTTATTTCCAATGGAGAATTTTATACACTTAACTTCTCCTTTATCGTCCATTCTGTTAAACACACAAATTACATTATCAATATATATGATTATTGTCCTCACATTTCACACCTCTAATGCAGATTGAAAAACTGATAATAAAAAGCTCAACAGGCCTTAAATGCAACAAATCCCAAACAGTTGACAGTATTCATCCCATCACTAAATCCATCCTGATGTACCTGAAGGCAACACTGCTCTTGTCATCTGGGCCTTTGACCACTACTCCCGTGGCTCCACCTGAACGCACCGCAAACACCTGCAGCCAGAGTTCAGGGTGTAAAAACCCCTCAAAATAAATACATTAGAAAACAAACAAACAAACAAAAAACCCTACAGCATACAATTTACTATCTTTTTTTTTTTTTTTAACAGATTTATTTACAGATTAAGTCCTGTTTGTGCATGTGTGTGTCTTTCCGACCTGTGTGTTAATGACAAAAGAGTGAAAAAATTGAATTTCCCCTCAGGGGGATTAATAAAGTATATAAAATTTTAAAGAAAAATTAAATTAAATTAAATTAAAATAAAAGATTCTACATGACTCTACATTATCCAGTTATATTATATGAAATAATGTAACTCCCTGATGGGTATTTATACTTTTAAAGGCTTATATAAGATTTTCAAGGCAGGTCTTTAACTTGTAATGCAGTTATTTTAATCTGTTGTTAACTTTTAAAGGAGCTGAGTATTTCCTTCCTCACTGACCATAATATAAATGAGTCACAATGTCGGCTGCAACAGCAGCAAGTCGCACCTGTCACCTTCTTAATTTTGTTTCTATAATACTTAGACAAAACAAAAGGACCATTTAAAGAACAACAAAGCGAATATTGACATTTTTTTTCTATAAAGCATTCATTCTTGAGAAGTGGGACAAAACCTTATTTCTATTTTTTTTTTTACCTTTTCAAGTCTTGACTAATAAACCTCATAATGGGCCAACCTCCCAGTGATTATTTTTATTTATTTATTTTCTGATTATAGCAGTGCATTTTGACACTGATGTTATCATTATGTATTGTTAGTTTTAGACTTTGAAGGCTTTTAACTTATTTTTTGAAATAAGAAATTTTTTGAAATTTCAAGTTTTGAATTATTGTCTGAGACAAGGCTGTTTTCTGAAACAGGGTGGGTTAAAAGTTTAAAAAAAACAAAAGCAGATATAATGTTTCACCCCAGAAATTAAATCAGTGTGATGCTAAGTTATAATTTTAAGTTTTGTTTTGTTTTGTTTTATTTTGTGGTTTTTCTAAGTTTTGGGAGGACATGATTTGTCCCAATTCTCAAGAATGGGTGAAAGATTACAAGTTTGGGGTATCACTTTAACAACTCAGACATCCTGCTCTCATGTTGTCTCACTTCATATATGAAACTGTGTTTGACAATCACATGATACAGCTTGAATAAAAGGTAAAATTCCATCTCTCTCATAACTAATGAAATATGGGAAACGATTCAAACATGTTGTTAGGGCTCCATCTGTCAAATATGACAGGGGATATGTTACTGCACAGTGTGTACTTTTACTCTAAGTACTTACATTTTACTGATTACTTTTACTTAAGTAAGTACTTGAATGTAGGACTGGACTTGTACTTACTTTCAGTGTAGTACTTTCATAGTATAGTATTAGTACTTTAACTTCAGTAAAGGATTTGAATACTTATTTCAAATCTGGTATTTTAATAAGTCAAATTTCTTAATTGTTTTTAACCAGGCTAACAGTTACCAATTTATCAGTTGTTTATTTAAAATAAAGAAGTGTCACATTAACCAGCAAACTGTACAGAAAGTAATCTCAACCTTACGTAATAAAAAGCGTTGTTGACATGCTGACAATAAATGTTCTTTAAACAAACTATATCACTTTGCCAGCTAGCCATTTTGCTTAGCTAAGTTAGCCGCCTCGTTGCTAACTAGCTTAGCTCACCTGCTTATTAGCTTCGTCGAAGAAGACATTGTTGACGCTGGAAGCATGTTCAAACTGTACCGGGTTCTCACAGAGCTCCAGGTAATGTTCCTCACTCATCCTCACACTTTATTATTACAGTTAATACTTTTATTATTATTGTTTTATCCTCAGTTCAGAGTCCTGACAGCCTCAGCAGCAGACAGGAACTGTTCACTTCATGTAGCGGCCATAGCACTTCCGGTTTCAGGTAAGGGTCTTCAGAATAAAAGCAAAAACAAACAAACAGATTTACTATTTTCGAACTATTTACAAATTAATAGAATAAAAATAATAAATAAATAATGGCTGTTGTTATATTTACAATTTAACAATCTGTTTTAACTGATTTATCTGTTTCTTCATTATGTTCTTGAGTTTTTCTGATCTTTTTCCTTGTGTCATTGAAAGCACCGTGTATTTGATGGACGCTACACACACTTCTACTGTAATACTATCCCATTTTTTTCTTTCTGCTCTTTTTAGGTGTTACTTCTGCATCTAAATAGACCTATATCTTCTAAATTAAACTTCAAATCGTGGTACTTTCATATGAAATCTGCTATTTTGGCATTCATTTTCACATTTTCACAAAATGTAAGGTTTGGTGCCAGTTCGTAACAATATTTTAGGACATACCGGTACATAACAAACATTTCTCGTTTAAGACACTATTGTGCATACTTGTTGTTTAGAATTCTTAAGTATATTTTTAATTTGTTTTAAACTTTGATTTTCAGTGAATATATACACAAACATTAAAAGCTAACTATAAATAAATTAGAAAGAAGAATGAATAAAAATAATTAATATTATTAATTAATAGTATTAGTAAATACGCAGTAGTTTACCAGGTTTTACCTACCTGAAAGGATACTGGATATACACGTAAAACATGCAAACTTATGTACAAACATAAACAGGCATATGCAGCATTCATCTTTTTCATTTTATTGTACTTTTTGTTCTAAGTTCAAGTTCGTAACTCTTGCAGTACTTTGCCTTTATTTTTTTATTTCCTCTTAGTGTTTTTTTTTGTTATTAGACAAATATTTATGGGGATTACTCTTTTATGCTGGAATCAGGGCGGAAGACTTCTTGTTCTTGCTGCTGGAAGTCATGTGACTGTCTCAAGATCACGTGTTTAAGAGAGAAATATGCAGTGACTCAAAGATTGAACAGTTTAGGTAACATTGTGCCAAGTAGAACAAACCTTCCACTGTGTAACTGATGATATACTACTACTACTACTTCTTATATAACCAATAAATAACAGACAACAAAATGCTTCATCTTCACCTTTTAATGTCACCACTGGTCTGCAAACAGTTTTACAGCAACTGATGAGAGTAAATCCATCGTAACATCATGTGAAGAGGCTGCATCGAGAAATCTTCATTTTCAATTTATTCGGATAAAAAGCACACAATAAATGACCAACATTTCCAACACCAGATTTTCTGAAGTTCCACAATCTAATCTAGTTTCATCTTGATCACTGCAAACATCAAGAAACAGTTTCCATTGTCTACATTAATGACATGATGCTGAGATGACTCTTTAATTTACTTGCATTTGTTTCTTTTGCACTTCAAACATTTAATAATGCCCCTTAGCTTTAGCTTTCACAAACACTCCAAACCAAACCGCCGTGAACCTGCGACACCTCCCCCTCCACTTACATGGGACAGAGCGACAAACAAAAAGAAAGAAATAAACTGAGCTTCCTGATGTTTTCCAAAAGTACTGTGTAAATAAAGTTAATTATAATTCATTTTAGCTGTAAATTTGAAAAAGAAAACATTATTGATACATAAAGTTCCCTTTGATAATTTTGATAGAGCGAAAACAGTGAAAAAAGATGAATATACCAAAAAAATTAGAAAAAAATTGTTGAGATAGAATAGGGGAGTAAAGACTGAGTGAACCTTATTATTATTAATATCATGTTTTAAATGAGGTTTTTATTAATGCTAACACACTGTCCAACTTGTCGTATCTGATTTAGTATTATTGTTTTTATTATTTATTGGCACTTCAGTTTGTGTGTGGGTGCAGATGGCTGATTTCTTATTTATTATATTGTTGTCAGTACTGTCTGATTTTTTTTTTAGTGCGCTATGAATCTTTTTTGTGTCCTTTAAATCTTATATCACTGCTACTGTTCTTTTATTGTTTTACTTTTGTCTACTTATTAAGTGTCTGATTAATTGCAATCCTGCTATGTATAACTCTGGTTCAACCATGTAAAGCACTTTGTAACTTTGTTTTGAAAGTGTTAAATAAAGTTTATTATTATTGTTGAAAAACAAATTACATATGTGTGTATAGAGTATAAAAACTTTGAAGTTCATTAAGTTGCTATCAGTGGTCTGGTCATATTTTGGTTTTGCTTTTTCATTAGATGTTTCCTGATGTTTTTAACTAATTTCAGGCTGTATATTTATTATCATTACATTTATGCTTCATATTTAGACATTTTGCGCTCTTTTTCTTTTTTCCTCTGTGAAGCTACAGGATGAAATATTCAAACCATATGAATTTCCTTTCTGCCTCAACCATCACATATGAAAAAAATAAACAAAAATAAAAGCCTGTCATCCTCTGCATCATTTCACCCTTGTTTCCCCAAATTCAGCCTAACGTAATCTTCACAAATTTTAATTTAAAATATCCTCTAAGGGTTTGTTTCTATCCAGCAGGAGAGAAGAGGTCCTGTGTAAGAAGCTTTAACTGTTTTACTGTGATTCTTATAAAAACACACACTGGAATCATTCTCAGAGTGGGCTGGTGTTAGCAGGAGGTTATGAGATGTGTTCTCAGCTTCAGAAAACTCTGTCGGTGCCTCTCAGGACACTCTGACTTCAACTTCATCCCTCCTGCAGCCAGGAGGAGGCGCTCCGTCCTGCCTGGTTAAAGGAAGCAGCTGGTGGGTGGGTGACATGGTTGGAGGGGGCGGAGGCTCCGGGTGAGAAGCCTACTCCTTTCATCTCCTGTTTTACAGCATTTTCAACACGGTGGGATCGTGAAGAGAGAGCGAGCCGGGCGGCGTTAGTCATCAGCATCAGGTTTTAAAGGAGGACCGCTGTCTTCAGAGGCCACGGGGAAGGTTTTCTTTCCCCTCCGCTGCACATGATCCTCGTTCCTCTTCTCCAAAGCCACAATCTGTAACAGAGCACAGAGAGAGAGTGTTTACTTGGTGTGTTGTCTCTAAAGAAATGTTCTCATCAAGCCCAAAGCCTCTCCTGAAGCTGCTCTGAACATGAACTATCAGAGGAAGGGAAGTGGTCATTTGTGCTCAAAGACAGAGTCAGGACTTACATATGTTATTCCTGTTGTCTGAGACTGTACAAAAAATATCAGTCAACATGAACAATTCTCTCCCAAAACCAAAAACTAGAGAGCTAAAACTCAAATTTGCACTGTCAAAGGGTATAAAGTCTGAAGCTGCTCCACAGACAATGAATTGACTGAGATGATATAAATGACACAGAGCATCCAGGGGAATGTTTTGAGTATATGGGAACATTTCCTGTTTCACAACTGAGAACACTACAATAGAATAAAGACCATTTGGCTACAAAAAGAAACCAAACAATATCTGTCTCCCTTTCATTGTCTGTGGAGCAGCTCCAGACTGTATTACCTGTGACATCATGAGTTTGACACTTCTCTGGTTTCTGGCTTTGACCTAGAGTAGCTCATGTTCACAATAATAATTGAACTTTCCTGGGCTATGGAAATAACATATTGGAATTCTTCATTTAGGTGGTGCACCCCCTTAAATGTCTTAATGGATACATTGATTTGTTGGTCAGCATCAGCATCAGACAATATTTACAAACAAGATGACATTTATGGTCTATGAGCTTCCAAACCTGCAGCACACACACATTCACTGACATTTTGTCTACAATTTTACATCATGTAAAGCCTGATTTATGGTCCTGCGTTGAATCAACGACGTCGCTACATCGTAGGGTACAGGGCTACGCAGAAGGCTCGCTGTAGCCCCCGGCGTAGCCTGACGTGCACCTCCCCAAAAATGTAACTACACGTCCAGGAGACGCAGACCCAGCGCAGACTGGCAGGGCTGTGATTGGTTTGCTTGGTAGCAACGCATTTCCGGTTCCATATTTCCAGATTGCGCCATCCCCGCCATCTTTAAACATCTTCTGCTGCAATGTAGATGTTGCAGTATTAAGGCTCATTATATATATATATGCCATTATGCTCAACGTTCAATACGGATACGGATACGGCCGGAGCTGTCTGTCCATGCTCCGCGTTCATTTCTCTGTGACTGGAAAAGCAGGAAGCTAAACAAAGAATCAACTAGAGACGACGACAACCACTCAGGAAAGGAACGCAGCCTCCTACCGCTCTGGCGGTGAATTGCACCACGATGAAACGGAGTGACGGAGAAGTTCGAAGGGTTCATGATGGCGTCACAGCAACAACGTAGCGACGTCGTTGAGTCAACGCAGGACCGTAAATCAGGCTTAAGATCATTCCCACATCAAACTGAGTTAAAAAAAAATAGTATTGGATTGTTGGTTTGTTCCCAGAGTCGTTACTACAGATGAAAATGTCTACCTAGAAACTAAGTTTTATTCATTTTTAAACAGGAAAACACACAAATAAACATGTAAAAATACATGAAAGAAAAGTCAATCAAAAGTAAAACCAAAATTATAATTAACAGAATATGAAGTTTGTGCAGAACCAGTCTCAGAACTCATCGGCTGCCGTCTGACGACAATAAAGCCTCTGAAGGTGAGGCAAAATATTTCAAGCTGATCCGGTTTAGTTAGTGGGGATCAGGGCCATCACGTCCTCTCCTGTGCGCTGGTCATTTCAGCGAGTCTCTACAAACACATATCTGCATATGAAGGCAGATACATTTTTAAAGAAGCCTATATAAAGCTAACTTGTCGTCAGATGATAACTGATGGTTTTTGAGATTGCATTTTGGCCAATGCACTCCATCTCTTCACACAGACTGTTTACCTGACATTCAGATGTGACTGGTCATATTACTGGCAGTACAAACTGAAACAGTTATGCTTCAAATACAGAAATCTGCAGATAAATACATTTATCTCTTTATGGATATTAGTGCAGATAAATTGTGTGTTTGTGTGTGTGTGTGTGTGTGTGTGTGTGTGTTACCTCAGCAATGAACTCTGCCTCATCCTCTTCACCAACAGGGATGTTCAGTCCGCTCACAGCGTTAAAAAGGTCGTACACACTCAACGCCTCGCTCACTCCTCTCTTCTGGAAGAACTGTGTGACACAAACACACATATTCAGTTGTCTCGTATTAACTTCAGTTGACATAAAAAATAAAATAATAAATAAATTAGACTTGCACCGATTACAATTTTTTGGGCCGATACGGGCAATATTTTCTATCTTTACGTTATTAGAACATTTTAACCAAGATACAACCAGCTTTTCAATAATCATCTCAAACAAACAAACAAAAACAGTGACACGGGTTAAAGGGCCAGTGTGTAAAATGGGTTGAAAACAGTGACATCAGTGGTCAAATTCTAGATTGCAGGGCTCACTCGCTCACCCCTCCCGTCAGGTAAATGACGGTGGCCTCGTAGGGACAAAAAGCCTTGCGCAGAACCAAGTTTTTCAGGAGTAGGTCTATCTAGCGACGAGGTGAATATTTAACGTTATTTAGAAATCTAAACCATGTTACGATATTGTAATGAATCCCTCACGAGCAGGAGACCAGAGTAGCGTTCAGGGAAAAAGGCCAGTTTATTTGAGCACTCCAAGAACTCCGGTAACACTCCAGGGGGTAAAAGACTCCGTCCCAAACTCTGAGTCTTCGAACGTAACAGACACACTTCATACACACATACTCGTTTACCATACCCAATGCGGACTCCTCTCCTCTCTGCTCTGCCAACCTCCAGCCCGCACACTGACTGACAGCGTAGCCGGTAAACAGAGCTCAGCTGTTTATTTAGCCTAGCGATATCTCCGGACTATAGTAGCTGCAATGGACGACTTTGAACGCGATTTTGAAGAGTTTCTTGTAGCGGACACAGACCCAGAGCCATACCTGTTTGAGCCGGAGCATACAGATGAGGAACTCCATGTGTTTGATGCTGAGCGGG